TCACCCTTTTCCGCCGGCGGGTTCGGGCGCGCGCCCTGTGAAATCCGCGTTTTCCGCCCATTACCGCACGTCGGTCCGCCCTCTGCTGCCCCGGCGTCTGCTGCCCCTGCGTCTGCTGCCCCGCTCTCTATGGGCCGGAGCGCCGAGTGGCGTGCAGAGCAGACCGAGGTCACAGCAAGTTGCAAGTGAATCTGAGTAATGATGGTCGAGTAATGAAGGGTCGTGTCCACGGTCATGTGGGTTGTTTAGGGGGCACGCGGGGGGTTGGGGGGGCGGTCGTGGGTGTCGGGATGTGGGAGGGGAAGGGCGGGGGAGGGGGGGGACGGGACGGGCGGCACATCAAGCAGGTGGCGTCATCCATCACTCTGCGATTAACCTACATCACTGCAACATTGTACGATCGCCCGTCATCACGGCAACACATTCCGATGCTCCTCTGATGCCCAACTGCGTGCGATGATTCCCTTTGTCCCTCGAGCCGCCGCGCCGTCCTGAGGGAGGGGGGGGGGGAGGGAAGGAGGGACCGTTCGGGCACTCCAGGCTGCGGGGCATGTCTTGGGCAAGGCTACTGGAATAACGGTTTACAAGGGGCTTTCCCTCGTTAAGAATACAGCTGAATCACACACACGCACAGGCAGATTACACAGACACAGACACACACACACACACACACACACACACACACACACACCACACACACACACACACACACACACACACACACACACACACACACACACACACACGTAACGAGCGTATGTAAGTAGACAGTATATCCATTTATATTCATCTATTCCTTTCTCTGCATATCTGCGTCTTCCTTTCCCTCTGCATTACTCGCACACTCTTTTCCTTCCTCTCCTCCATTCCCCTCTCTGTTATCATTTATATTCACTATCCGTCAACATTTCCTCTCTCCGCGTTTCTCCCCCTCTCTTTTTCTCCTTCCTTTGCCCTTTCCTCTTTGCTCTCTGTCTGTCTGTCTGTCTGTCTGTCTGTCTGTCTGTCTCTCTCTCTGTCTCTCTCTCTCTCTCTCTCTCTCTCTCTTCTCTCTCTCTCTCTCTCTCCTCTCTCTCCCTCCTCTCCTCCCTCCCTCCCTCCCTCCCTCCCTCCCTCCCTCCCTCCCTCCCTCCCTCCCTCCCTCCCTCCCTCCCTCCTCTCTCTCTCTTCCTCTCCTCTCCTGCCTCGCATCTTCGTCTATTCCTGTACATATCTAAATCCCCCATTTTCCTCTTCATCGCATTCTCCTGCTTTGGCTCTTCCTTTCTCGAATTCTCCCTTCTACCTCCTTTGCCCCTTCCTCCTTCCTTTCTCTCTCTTCCATCCCTGCCTTACATTTTCGTCTATTCCTGTGTATATCTAAATCCCCCATTTCCTTCTTCATCGCATTCTCCTGCTTTCGCTCTTCCTCTCTCGTATTCTCCCTCTTCCGTCTCCCTCTCTCTTCCTCCCGAATCTCCCGAGAAACGTCAGCAACTCAAGACCAAAACAAGATTAAAAAACAAATTAGAGTCGACATCGGATTTATACAACTCGACATTTACATACAGCCTGCGCCTCCCTTCAAAAAAAGGAAAAAAAAAAAGAAAAAAGAAAAAAGAGAGGAGAGAGGAGAGAGAGAGAGAGAGAGAGAGAGAGAGAGAGAGAGAGAGAGAGAGAGAGAGAGAGAGAGAGAGAGAGAGAGAGAGAGAGAGAGAGAAGAAGAAGAAGAAAGAAAACCGTGTTGCGTAAATCTTATTTCTAATTAAATCTATCAGAACTTTTTCCTGCTGCCATGTGAGTCGAGGGATTGATTAACTCATTTTTTTGTGATGAATACATTAAAGCGAAAGAGTGAAGAGGAAAGAAAAGAGAAGAGAGAGAGAAAAAGAGAGAAGAGGAAGGAAAAAAAGCCATCCATCCTTCTCGCAGAAAGAATGACATGATATTATTGGACGAAAGTTGAACATTCATGAAATTTACTCTTTATTTATTTATTTCTGAACGTGTGACTCGCCGTTGCTATGGTGTCGTTCGGGGCGACGCCTGGCGGTGAGAGGCGGCGCGTGGATGTGGTGGATGTGGTGGATGTGGCGGTTGAAGCGGCTGTTTTGTGGCGAGGGCGAGAGGGGTGATCTGCGTCGACTGCGGGACTGACTGCTTGGCGATGGGCGGACTTGCTGTTAGGCGAGCTTGCGATGGGCGGACTTGCTGTTGGGCGGGTTTTGATAAGGATGTTGTGGGAGTGTGTTTGGTCGTCGCAGAACATCAGCATAAAAGTGGGATCATATTCCTGTCAGTGGAATAATCTCGGAATCTAGCAGGTTAAATATATCTTCTTTTTTCAATCGCTTCTGCTCGCCTCCCGCGCCAAATCGAAGGAAAAACCATTCTGTCATAAATGATTTTACTCTGATTAGCAGGTGCTATAATTACAATGCCTAATGAATATACCAACCGCCGTTGTCATTCAGTTTTTACTGAACATTTAATTGAAAACAAAAGCACTTCGTTAATCGAATGAAAGCGCGTAAGATCCCAACCAAGGCCTCCAGGAGCGACTTCCCCGGCCGCGTCTCTCCTGAATGTCGGCGGACGGGAAGCCAGGCCAAGGAGAGGCCCAACGAGGCGCCCGAGCGGACTCATTAACCCACAGACACTCATGCGACGCGATGGCGACGACATCGACGCCCGGAGGATCCATCTGCGTCCCCGGAGCGACGCCGACGCAGACGCCGCCATCGAACGGGTGTTTAATGCCCCATAAAACAAATCGCCGCTTTTAGCAAAGCGCCGGGATCGATCCCTAATCCCTTTCCCTGTAAACACTGAAGGGTCACCTTGACATTTTCTGGAGTGCGTAAACTATCCCTCCTCACCTCCCGGCTCACGCGGCCCTCCACGCTCTCCGCTGCACTCAGCCGTCCTCAGCCCGCGAACCATCCTTGCCCTTGGCGACGCTTCCGTAATCCAACCTCGCTCCCTCCTGCGCGTGCCCCCCTCTCTCCCCGTGGGCGCATATCCCCTCGGTGACATCTATCGACATCCTGACAGAAGAAGGTTTCTGAAGCGCGATATAGCGTGTGAATTTCCACTTGATATTTTTATATATTTTTTTATTCGTATGACGGAGCATGAAGGAATACAGGAATAATAAATACACAATTAGACCCGGGTGTTCCGCGCTTCTCTAGACAGTAACATAGGAAATACTGGCGTTTGGTCCGCCTGGAAACCTTACCGGCCCGGCAGACACACTTCACTTTTCGCATACGTACCTGGGGAAGAGAGAGAGAGAGGTCAGTAGTTGTTAACAGTATGACAGAATAATGATATTTTCAAACAAAAAAATATGTGATTCTGCTGATTATGTAGACAAAATGGCCGTCAAACGAATGATGGCGACATAAACAATTCGTTTAGTCACCTAAAATGAAACTCAGTTCTAAGGCTTTTAGAAAACACCTCAAACATAGTGGTTTGATGATGGTGATGATGATGATGATGATGAGGAGGAGGAGGAGGAGAAGGAGGATGAAAATGTTGATGGTGATGATGTGATGATGATGATGAGGAGAACGAGGATGGAAAGAGGAGGAGACGAAATGAAGATGGATGATGATGATGAGGAGAACGAGGATGAAGATGATGATGTTGATGTGAAGATGAGGAGGAGAAAGAAGATGAAGATGATGATGTGATTATGAGAATGAGGAAGAGAAGAAATATGATGAAGATGATGATGTTGATGTGAAGATGAGGAGGAGGAGGAGAAAGAGGATGAAGATGATGATGATGGTGGTTATACCAGTTTAATTAAACTAATGGACATGATGACGATGATAATGTTAATGATAATGACAATAACAACAATAATAATGATGATAATGATAATATGATAATAATGAGAAGCAAACAACAAGAACAAGAACGCAGTCCCTGGAAGTCCCCGCGAAGGAGGGACCGCCGGCAGCGTCGCGATCTGCGCCGAGGGTTATTTATAGGCGCCTCTTCATAAGGCGAGCGAAGTGTTACCCCGACAACGCGTCCTCCAGGCCCCGCGCGAGGCAGGAGGGCCTGGCGGGCGTCCAGGCAGCGGGACGCGGCGCCCAGCCCGACCTTTGTGATCTCGGCCGCGACAAACACGTGCCAGCTGGACCTCCACCAGCCTGGAAGAGGGCGTCGCCGACCCGAGGGACACGGCCACCTGCGTCGCCTCGTCCTCCCGGGTTCCTTCTTCACCCGCATCTGCCGCGCACTCCGTCATCCGCGCCCCTCGCCCTTCAGCCGCACTCGCCGCTCTCCGCCGACACTTCATCATGTCCTCGCAACCGCTCTCTCCGCACTCATTGTCGGTTGACACACGCTGTTGGACCCACGGCGGCTCGACGCCCGATGCCGCCCGCCCCTCCCCTCCCTCCCCCTCCCTCCCCATCAAAATGCGAAGCTTAAATCGAAGAGGCTTTTTCTATTTGCTATTGACGAAAGCCCTTATATATGGCATCGGAATTACTTTAAAACTGATCGACAAATTAAGATGAATAGTGTAATTTTCATTCAGTACTTTAGCATACAACAACTGTATCTACTTTTACGAATAATTCAGGAACGGAGGAGTGCTGTGTAAAATTTACGTATATTTTTTTCCGAATATCAGAAACCTTTATTCAATGAAGCCAAACTAATTTGCATACCATAATGATGAAACATCATCCAAGTTATGAACATTTTCATTATGAAAATAATTTGTAATCTATTCCAGGAACAAAAAATCGTTTTTATTTTATTGCGATTAAACTGGTGATAGAAAAGTAATCATTTATCGCCTGATTTATAATTGCCTGCTATAAATTTAAATCATAAAAACATTTGGAAATAAACATATGTGAGGCATGTTTAGATGCATGTAGTGTATTTTAGAATAATAGTTTACGTCAGTGTTCTCTAAGGCTATTTAATTGCATATCGCAGAAAATGTACTGCACCAAATAGATACTTCTAAAATATCTTGCACGTGTATT